AAAAAAAATAAAAAATCTCTGCCCTAGTGCCTGGAAGGTAACCTCAACCCTGGGCAATCACTCCCAGCTCCCAGGAAATCTGGGCTTTAACTAAAGCTCCTTGTCTACATTCAGCCTGGAATCCACAAGGCTCACCCCACTGCTCAGAGATCAACCCTTGGACCCTCTCCACCACCCCAACACTACACCTCAAGCCTGTGTCCTTCAAACTCCAATACCACCCAAAACTGCCCTGACCTCCCGTCAACTGCTCACCAGAACTTGAGACCCTGGTCAGGCACCCCAAGGCCTTGCTCCCGCATGGGAAGAGGGCTTCCGGACCCCCAAATTGCCCTGACCTTGGAGTTTCAAGGGCTCTGCTGCTCAGCGGGGTGCCTCTGCCAGCCCTGGGCGGCCCCTGCAGCATGGCCCAGATGCCTTACAGATACTCGGGTTTGCCTGCTGGCTCACTGGGAGCCATGTCCATCGAAGTCTCTCACATGCCCATGCTCTTCACAGCTCCAGAGTGGCCAGGCCAGCGCACCACACACGCCCCTCCCTCCACTCACACTGGTTGGTCACTACGTGTGTCAGCTCTCCCTCAAGGAAGAGGTATTTCAAAAACAGAAAATTACTGGGGCTGGTGCTGCGGCATAGTGGGTAAGGCCGCCAACTGCAGTGGCAGCATCCCATTGAATGTTGGTTCGAGCCCTGGCTGCTCCAATTTTTCTTCCTTTTTTTTTTTTTTTTTTAAAGTTTATTTATTTGAAAGAGTTACACAGAGAGAAGGAGAGGCAGAGAGAGAGAGAGACAGGTCTTTCATCCGCTGGTTCACTCCCCAAATGGCTGCAACAGCTGGAGCTGTGCCGATCCGAAGCCAGGAGCCAGGAGCTTCTTCCAGGTCTCTCACACAGGTGCAGGGATCCAAGGACTTGGGCCATCTTCTACTGCTTTCCCAGGCCATAGCAGAGAGCTGGATGGGAAGTGGAGCAGCCGGGACTTGAACCACACTGCAAACAGTGGCTTTACCCACTATGCCACAGCACTGGCCCTTACTCCACTTCCAATCCAGCTCTCTGTTATGGCCTGGGAAAGTAGTAGAAGACGGCCCAAGTCCTTGGGCCCCTGTACCTACATGGGAGACCCAGAAGAGGTTCCTGGCTCTTGGTTCCCAGTTGGCGCAGCTTCAGCCATTGTGGCCATTTGGGGGGGAGTGAACCAGCAGATAGAAGACCTCTCTCTCTCTCTCTCTCTCTGCCTCTTCCTCTCTGTAACTCTGCCTTTCAAATAGATAAATCAATCTTTAAAAACATAGAAAATTATACAATATAGGGCTAATGTTTACAGATACTTTTAATCTAAAGGATAAGGCCCCAAATTTCTGCCTCATTCCTGCCTTTCCAATTCCCTACACTAATACACACACATCATACACATCCAGCCAGCCACCCAGTCTCTCTCACACAAACCAGTTCTCTACCACAGCTGACTGTTTGCATTCTCTTGTCTGCTTCTCTCCCCTGTCTACCACTTGCACTTGAGTAGTCCTCGAGATTTGGAAGGCAGCTCTTCTCCCTTTGCTTCCTGACCAGTTTTGCTGCATTTCAGGGCTTCAATTCCTACTTAAATGTTGATCATAACTACTGGATAAATGTCTACCTATATGCTACCTTAGGGTTTATAACCTTTGGGGACTGGCACTGTGGCTTAGTGGATAAAGCTGCTGTCTGCGGTGCCAGCATCCTATATGGGTGCCAGCTCGAGTCCCGGCTGCTCCACTTCCAAACCAGCTTCCCTGCTAATGCACTTGGGGAAACAGTGGAGGATGGTCCACTGCACACACGGGAGACCTGGAGGAGGCTCCTGGCTTCAGATCGGCCCAGCTCTGGCTGTTGTGGCCCTCTGGGGAATGAACCAGTGGACGGAAAACTTATTTCCATCTCTCTCCACCCCATTGTAACTCTGCCTTTCAAATACATAAATAAATCTTTTTAAAAAGAAGATTCATTACTATTGGAAATCTAAAACCTATTCTTTCAATCATTATTTCATCTATACATAAAACTGAAATACTGCCTATCTCCAAGCTCACTTCATTCATAAAAAGGATGGCATTTCTAATACAAGCCAAACTTCCCACCACTGGCTTTTTGGTTTCTAGAACAGTTTCTGTAACAGTTCACCAGTGCAGCTGTGTGATACTTGTCTTCTGAAATGTTCCTTTTGTCTTACTCAGACTCACCTTGTAGCAGTCATTAGCAATGAGTTGTAAGATACTAAAGGACTCGCTAGAGGTTTCCATCTTGAGATAAAGTTCCCAGGCTAGTCTTGGCTTTTTATTCATGATATCTACAAAAGGAAACAGTGATGCATGATTTTTAAATGTACAAAACAACTTTTTAAAGATTTATTTATTATTTTTAAAAAGATTTATTTTATTATTTATTTGAATGGCAGAGCTATGCCACAAGGCCAGCCCCAAGATTTATTTATTTATTTGAAAGTCAGAATTACAGAGAGTGAGGGAGAGACACACACACAGAGATCTTCCATCCATTGGTTCACTCCCCAGATGGCTGCAAGGACCTCGACTGGGCCAGGCCAAAGCCAGGAGCCAGGAGCTTTATCTGGTCTCCCTCGTGGGTAGCAGGGGCCCAAACACATGGACCATCTTCTGCTGCTTTTCCCAGGCCATTAGCAGGGAGCTGGATGGGAAATGGAGCAGACAGGACACAAACCAGTACCCATATGGGATGCTGGTACAGTAGGCAGTGGTTTTACCCACTATATCATAAGGCCAGCGCCAGGAAGCAACTTCTGTATCTTTTTATCCTACAGATTTGGTTCTTTTTGGTTCCATATTCCAAATATACAAATAATAGTAGAAAACCTCTCAGATGGCAAGTCTGCAATGTTAGCATCGTACTGACTCCCTATCAGAACTCGACCTTACTCCAAATCCCTCAGTTGAGACTCCCATGCTTAGGTCTCTTAGACTGAGCTGCTCCCAGCAGGCCCCACTTGCCTTGTCTGCTAAAAGAGGATGCCCATCACTCATGCAGTCCAACCCCACTCACAATTTCAGCCTTACTTAGAATATCTGAGTGTGAAAATCCTCCTGCAAGTACAAAAACGTCACGAACATCTGAAATCCAGCAGGGGTGGGAGTTTGGCACAGCAGGTAGGAAGCTACCTGGGATGCCTGCATCCTGTATATAGGAGTCCTCGGGTTCTAGTCCTGCCTCTGCTTTTGATTTAGCTTTTTTTTAAAAAAGTCATTTTTTAAATTTATTTGAAAGACAGAGTTACAGACAGAAGTGAAGACATAGACAGAGATGGTCAGTCTTCTTCCATCTGCCGGTTCACTCCCCAGATGGCTGCAAAAGCCAGAGCTGAGCCGATCCAAAGCCAGGATCCAGGAGCTTCTGGGTCTCTGACACGAGTACAGGGGCCCAAGGTTGTGGACCATCTTCCATTTCTTTCCCAGGCAGAGCAGAGAGCAGATTGGAAGAGGAGCAGTTCAAACTAGAACCAGTGCCCACATGGGATGCCGCCACTGCAGGCTGGGGTTTTAACCCACTGGCCACAGCGCTGGTGCTTGATTTAGCTTCTTGCTAATGCACACCCTGCCAGGCAATGGTGATAGTTCAAGTACTTGGGTCGTTGTCACCCATGTGAGAGACCTGGATAGAGATTTGGGTCCCTGGCTACAGCCTGGCCTAGTTCCCCAGCTATTGAGGACATTTGTGGATGGAAGATCTGTCTCTCCATCTTTCAAACAAAAAAGCTTAGTAAAAAGAGGAAAAAGAAGATAGTGAGTACCTGAGAGAGAGACAGGGATTATAGGTTATATAATACACAAAAACTTATTTTTTTGACATTTTATAACTTTTCAGGCCTAAAGTATGCTGAAAAGATAAAATTAATGTTAATAATATCATCTCACAAACTGAGACTCTAGCAACTTGAAGGGGCTAAAGCAAGAACAAGGAATCCTTCCAGTGAGTGCTGAGCCAAGGCTGTAAGGTAAACTGACACGGCAACCTTTCCTGGGCAGCCTTAAAGCCCCTAACGCCAGTGGTCACTGATTCTACAGAACAAATATCAAATAAGATTAGCAAACGCTAAAAGTCATTTCCAAACAAGTCATGCAACGGAGAAGAAGGATTCTTCTCGTGACACGGAAGCACGACTCACAGCACCGGGCCAACCAGCTGAGGTAGACGTAGTCGTTCTTCATCTTCTCACTCTGGATGAGGAGGAACACCTGCAAGGACAGCAGAGACAGGCTGAGGGTGGTCTGCAATCACGGCGTCCACTTTCAGCTGGTCTTAGATCAATGACCCCGCAGCCTTTGAGGCCCTGGTACCACACGGCTGTTAAGGACACAGTGACGGTGACTGTAATGCACTTCTCTCAGTAACGGCACTGTACGCGGACAGAAAGCTGGAAAGACAGCAGAAGAGCTGCGCCGAGAAGGGAACAACTGTGGGATGCACACTCTTCTCAGCTCCACATGACCTACATGATGCACAAGCTACAGGGCGACAGGCAGGTCTCAATCAATCTTAAAGGAACGGAGTCACGGAGACCCCATTCTAGGGCCACAGTACACTAAGTTAGAAATCAAAACAAATAACCTGAAAAGGGAATGCACATAGTTGAAATGTGGAATAATGAGTTTTAAATAACTCACAAGTCATAGAAGAAATCATAATGGGGATTAGATAATAAATAGAATTTGAATAACAAGTGGAGTAATCTGACCTCTAACAACAAACTGTTGAAATTGTCACTCTGAACACTTCAGACAAGCAATCTATGCAGTCCAAAGTCAGGACAGTGGTCCTGGAGGAGGTTTCTAGGGACAGGACAATGTCTCCTGATCTGAGTCCTGATCTTATGGGTGTGTTTAGATGTTGAAGATCCACCAAGCTGCACATATGGTATACTTCTACAAAATTTATCAAAAAAGGGAAAACATTAATATGACTCTAAACTCGACACATTTTACCTTGTACTTTTTAATGCAATCTAAAAACAAAAGAATCTTTAATAATCCATTCCCCTTGACTGTTTTTCTTGTGAGAAGATAAGGCTTTTTTTTATAGACTCATTCAAATACTTTCACAGCGTAGACCCACCTCTTCTCCTTCACTGGTATTGCCTGTAGCAGCTTTGGCTTGTGCATAATTAAAGTTAAAGATGTCATCATTATAGAAATAACTCTGAAAAACATCCCAAGAAGAGGTCACATTGAGCATTAACACATAAAATATAAAGTTATCAGTTATACTATTTAAGCACAATAATATATATATATATATATATATTTTTTTTTTTTTTTGCCAGGCTGCAGCCAGGGTCTCCCACGTGGGTGGCAGGGACCCAAGCACTTGGTCCATTTCCCACTGCTTTCCCAGGAGCTTTAGCAGGGAACTGGATAGGAACTAGACCAGTCAGGACTTGAACCAGAGTCCACATGGGACACTGGCGTCGCAGCCATGTCAGTCCCCACATAATAACCTTGAGGAACTAACTGATGCTGTCAATGCCACCACAGGAAAAGGTCCATTTCTAAGAATATCTTATCTTCTCTAACACAGTACATTTAGCGTTTGGTGTTTAAAGCCGCAGAGATGATTCTATACTGACCTTAAATGAGTTGAGGTAAATCAACACATCATCAAATTGCTTAAGCAGGAAGAAGCAGGATGCCATGCACTGCCGCCCTGGTATAGTGTCTGAAATGGAAAGGGGAGAGAAACCACACACATTCATGAAACCAAACGTCCTCTTCAGCAGAAATTTCAGTTATTTTTAAATTTAGAAATAGGAGTGCATTCCAGGATGTCTTTTGAGGTTCTGGAGTTGTAGACTGCTTCAGTGGGCAAAGCCTCAGGATAGTGGAGGTCACAACACTTGAGAATGATCAATATGGTCTCTGAGGTTAACTCCCAGGGTTCACGATGAACACATGCCCCACAGGAACACTGCTATGGTACGCCCCAGGTCATTTCTAGGGCTTGGATTCTCTCATCCCAATCCAACATCTGCACACTCAAATAACCACGGCTTGGTCTCCATCATCACTTGTCTAACACAATCTAGCACCTCCAGCATCAAATGGAGAAATAATCTGTGACGGAACCATCTGATTCTGATCCTGTGTGAGGAAGAGAGGACTCCATAGCACTCATCACAATGTAAGAAACCATGTAATCTATTTATGTATTATGTCTCCAGTCTGTCTGCCCCACAAGGCTGTAAACTCCACAAGGATGGGGAGTTTTGTTTGCTTTCCCTCCTGCTGTGTCCCCAACACCTCAATAAATTTTTGTTGTATGAATGAATAAAATGGGAAAAGAAAATATTATTCAATAAACGGTGTTTGTGAGACATCTCTCTGTTCAGCATGAACACTGTCCATCAGAACAGAAGATGGCCACACGCAAATGCTCCCGGTGGTCCCACAGCTCACACGGGCTACCAGTCCTTTTCATAGCACAGTGCTTTCTTGCCCTGAATACTGACTGATAAAATAGAAGAAGAAAGCCACAAGGCTACTAGTAAGAGGTACAGGCAAATATATAACTGTGGTGGTTAAGAAAGTACTTTCTAAGATTGAAACTATGTATGAAATCATCATAAAAATATAAACTTAAGGGGCCGGTGCTGTGATGTAGCAGGTAAAGCTGCCACCTGCAGTGCTGTCATCCCATGTGGGTGCCGGTTCAAGTCTCGGTTGCTCCACTTCTGATCCAGCTCTCTGCTATGGCCTGGGAAAGCAGTAGAAAACGGCCCAAGTCCTTGGGCTCCTGCACCTGCATGGGAAACCCAGAGGAAGCTCCTGGCTCCTGGCTTTGGATCGGCCCAGCTCCAGTTGCTGTGGCCATTTGGGGAGTGAACCAGTGGATGGAAGCTGCTTCTCTATAACTGTGCCTTCCAAATAAATAAATAAAAATTTTTAAAAGAGAAAATATAAACTTAATTAAACATGATTTTCATATTAAAAAACATTTTATGAGAATTTCTTTTTGAGAGGCAGAAAGATACACAAGGAGAGAGAGAGTGCGATCAAGTGCACCCATATGCCAAGTTACTCCCCAAATGCTGGCAATGCCAGGGCTAGGCTGGGCTGAGGCTAGAGCCAGGAGATCAGCACACGTCTCCCATGTGGGCATCAGGAATCCAGCTGCTTTGAGCCACCATCAATGACTCCCAGGGGCTATATTAGCAGGAAGTGGAAAGGTATCAAACCTGGGCACCTGACGTAAGATGTAAGCATTCACACTGGCATCTTTTTTTTTTTTTTTCATTTGACAGATAGTTAGACAGTGAAAGAGAGAGACAGAGAGAAAGGTCTTCCTTCCATCGGTTCACCCCTCAAATGGCCACTATAGCCAGCGCGTTTCACCGATCTGAAACCAGGATGGCCCAAGAACCTGGGCCATCCTCCACTGCACTCCCGGGCCACAGCAGAGAGCTGGACTGGAAGAGGAGCAACCGGGACTAGAACCTGGCGCCCATATGGGATGCCGGCGCCACAGGCAGTGGATTAGCCAAGTGAGCCACGGCACCAGCCCCTCACACTGGCATCTTAACTGCTAAGCAAAATGTCTACTCCTGATTTTAACATTTGATTTTATATGGTAAAATAGATCAGAGGAAAAGTATAAAGGCTAATGACTTAATGAAAAAGATATTTTCAATTTGACAAAAGATTAATATATAAGAGCTTTTGAAAAATCAATACAAAATAACATTCCATATAAAAAACTGATTCAAAAATTTGAGAGTCATTAATTAAAGAGTAAATTTATTCTTTTCCTTTTCAAAAAATTCTTTTATCCTACTTGTGAGCTACTCTGACCTCCCATTTTTAATTCAGAGCCTAACAGATATATCCCTAGGTAGAGAACCAAACTTCACTTGTGAATATGTGCCCAACTCCACTTACAAGTCACGCCTGCAAGCACAGGTTTCAAACATACCACATTCACTAGCTGATCCTCCTACCAACTGGAAGAACTGCTGGGCAATTTTCATATGATCCCTCTGAAAAACAAAACATAGCTGATAAAGAGGACTATGGAGAAAGTATTTTATTTGTATTATACTTTATGGTTCTAATACATTTCTTAGGATATAACATACATCTTTATTTTAAATCTTGCCCAAAGGAATATTAATTCATTAGCACAAGCAACTAGAAAAACCTGAAATTGAATTAAGCAAGGTCACACCATTAAAATTACAAACTTTAAATTTTATCATAAAAGCAACTCATTAAATTAATGTATTCATTTACTAATCCATTCATTTGACAAATATTTATTGCTCTTTTACCAAATATTTGATCTTGGCATAGAGCTATGGATAGAACAAGGCATAGTTATCAAATTCACTTGCTTATTTGGTAAGTATTCATTGCCTATCTTCCCTACAAGGCACTGTGGAGTGAGCTAGGGATGGAGATGTATTTATATTTACTCATAGTCCACAACAAACGTCATAAGCCACATTAGAGATGATGAAAGCTGGACCGACACAGTGTATCCTTCTTATAGAAGCTTCACTAGTGAAACAATTGGCCCCACTTTACAGATGTCAGACATGGTCATGGTCTAAAAAAGTCACTGCAAGTAAGATTGAAGGTGGGCAGTCACTTTTCTTTGGTTTGCACCATTTAAAAACAGGATTCTGGGGCCAACGCTGTGGTGCAATGGGTTAATGCCCTGACCTGAAGCGCCAGCATTGCATATGGGCACCAGTTCGAGACCCAGCTGTTCCACTTCTGATCCAACTTTCTGCTATGGTCTGAGAAAGCAGTAGAAGATGGCCCAAGTCCTTGGGCCCCTGCAGCTGCATGGGAGACCCGAAAGAAGCTCCTGGCTCCTGGCTTCAGATCAGCACAGCTCCAGCTGTTGTGGCCAATTGGGGAGTGAACCATTGGATGGAGAACCTCTCTCTCTCTCTCTCTCTCTCTCTTCCTATCCTCTCTCTACGTAACTCTGCCTTTCAAATAAATAAATAAATCTTTAAAAAACAAAACAAACAGGATTGTTTTTAAACAAAGCATCATTTTTTAGCATTAAAGCATTTTTAAAAATTCCTCTGAATAACAGAATTCTTTTTTAATGAAGTCTATATTGGGCAGATATGGAGAAATTAAACTTCAGAAGAGAGCCGATGTTGTAGCATAACGGGGTAAGCTGTCCCCTGCAGCACCAGCAACCCATATGGGCGCCTGTTTGAGTGCTGGCTGCTCTGCTTCCAATCTAGCTTCCTGCTAATGTGCCTGAGAAAGCAGTGGAGGATGGCCCAAGTGCTTTGGCCTCTGCATCCACGTGGGAGACCAGGTTGAAGCTTCTGGCTTCAGCCAGACCCAGCCCTGGCCATTGCAGCTATTTGGGCAGTGAACCAGTGGATGGAAGATCTCTACACTGCCCCCTACCCCAAATAACTCTTCCTTTCAAACAAATAAAATAAATCTTAAGGAAGCACCTGGCTCCTGGCTTCGGATCAGCGCAGCGCGCCGGCCACAGCAACCATTTGAGGGGTGAACCAACGGAAGGAAGACCTTTCTCTCTGTCTCTCTCTCTCTCACTGTCTAAATCTGCCGGTCAAAAAAACAAAACAAAACAAAACAAAAAACTCAGAAGGGTCTACTTGTAAGTTTATTAATAGCATTACTGGCTGCATATATATATATATATATATACATATATATATATATTTCTTTTTTAAGTAGACATTCTTTTTTTAAAATATTTATTTATTTATTTGAGAGGCAAAGTTGCACAGAGAGAGAAGGAGAGGGAGAGGGAGAGGGAGAGAGAGAGAGAAAGAGAGAGAGAGGTCTTCCATCCGCTGGTTCACTCCCCAGCTGGCTGCAACGCCCACAGCTGGACCAATCCAAAGCCAGGAGCCAGGATCTTCCTCCTGGTCTCCCATGCAGGTGCAGAGGCCCAAGGACTTGGGCCATCTTCTCCTGGCTTCCCAGGCCACAGCAGAAAGCTGGATTGGAAGAGGAGCAGCCGGGACTAGAACCAGCGCCCATATGGGATGCTGGCACTGCAGGAAGCGGCTTTATCCTCTATGCTACAGTGCTGGCCCCTGCATTTATATCTTCATTTTGGTATTTTCCTTATACTTATAACTTTGCAAAGCATATATTACTGGTGATTTCATACTTACTGAACCCGTTTCCTGGCCAAGGGCTACATTGACCACTCCTTTAAGAATATATTCCTAGAAACATGGATAAACAGTGATTAATATAAGAGTAATGTAGAGCCTTATTTTCCAGGTCAATTCCCTTCATCAACTCAGTATTTTATATGTATGGATATATATTATCAAAAGTTACACAGAGGCCGGCACCACGGCTCACTAGGCTAATCCTCCGCCTTGCGGCGCCGGCACACCGGGTTCTAGTCCCGGTCGGGCGCCGGATTCTGTCCCGGTTGCCCCTCTTCCAGGCCAGCTCTCTGCTGTGGCCAAGGAGTGCAGTGGAGGATGGCCCGAGTACTTGGGCTCCGCACCCCATGGGAGACCAGGAGAAGCACCTGGCTCCTGCCATCAGATTAGCATGGTGCGCCGGCCGCAGCGCTCCAGCTGCAGCGGCCATTGCAGGGTGAACCAATGGCAAAGGGAGACCTTTCTCTCTGTCTCTCTCTCTCACTGTCCACTCTGTCCAAAAAAAAAAAAAAAAAAAAAAAAAAACAGAGTTGCTTTTCTCTGTTCTATTCCAGATTTCAATGAAAAAATTAGGAGACTTTCGTTTAGTTTCCAGAAGGCAATGCCACATATAAAAGAATTTAACGTACTTGTAAATTCTCAATCTTAGGCAGAAATAATTCACAGAAGACCCAGAAGGTAAGTTTCGCTTCATTTCAATTCAGGGCAGACAGCAGAGTGCTTATCTCATCATCAGCCAGTGACTCTCTGTGACCACATCATATATATTATCTCCCATTCCAGTGTAAAACCTTTCTTTGTTAGTAATGTTTTCCTACAAGAAAGAAGCTGGGCAGGCCCTCTGGTTCCATGTATGAGGTGGTCCTCCTGGTGGAGCGCCAGGGCCTCAGCTCTTCCCTCGTGTCAGACCTGGTTCTAGTCTTTAACGGATGCCCTCCTCTGAAGCTTGATCACTTCTTACTAAAAAAGGCTTGTAAAAAGAACAGCAGACGCTTACTGCAGCTTTCAGTACACTTGAGAAATGTCCTTGTTTAGACTCCATGAGGTCTGGAAACATTTTTTAGTCAGTGTTTAATTCAATAAATGGAATGTCTACAATGCATTTAGTGTATACAGTATTGTAGACATAGTCCTTAACTAAAAGGAATTAGGAGAAAGACAAGTTATAGACAATTTATAAGTGAGATAAGTGCATAAATCTTAATAGCTTCATTAGAATTCTAGATTTTAGCATTTCGAAACTTTAGCCCTTGTGAGGAAATGACTACATATAATGGAGTTTTAAAACATCAAAAAAACCAAGAATATTCACTCTCTTATCAAAAGTCTCACATAAAGGACAGGTGTTTACTCTAAGGGTTAAAACATTGGTTAGGCCAGCACCGCAGCTCAGTAGGCTAATCCTCCGCCTTGCGGCGCTGGCACACCGGGTTCTAGTCCCAGTCGGGGCGCCAGATTCTGTCCCGGTTGCCCGTCTTCCAGGCCAGCTCTCTGCTATGGCCCGAGAGTGCAGTGGAGGATGGCCCAAGTGCTTGGGCCCTGCACCCCATGGGAGACCAGGAAAAGCACCTGGCTCCTGGCTCCTGCCATAGGATCAGCGCGGTGCGCCAGCCGCAGTGCGCCAGCCGTGGCGGCCATTGGAGGGTGAACCAATGGCAAAGGAAGACCTTTCTCTCTGTCTCTCTCTCTCACTGTCCACTCTGCCTGTCAAAAAATAAAAAATAGTAGTGGGTTAGCAAAAATGTAAAGCATTCTTGGGAGAATCAAGATGACTGTAGAGAAAGAAGCCCAGTATCTGCCTCCTCCACTACCAAGAAAAACCAAAGCAGCAGCTTCTGGAGGGAGGAGGAGGGGACACAGGGACAGGACAGTGGGACACAGGACACTGAAAGCAGGCACAGCAGCACAGGGCGAGGGGACAGAGGAACAAAGCCTAGTCTGCAGGGAAACGGGGAGCAGGAGCGCACCAGCAGCGCTGTCTGTGGGAATCCTCCGCAGAGGGACGCAGCCATCAGGAACTCCCCCAGCTTGTCCTCCCCTCCAACCCCCAGAGCAAGGGCCACGGCAGTGAGCCACCATCTTGAGAAGGGAGTCACAGACTGAGTCCACACTGTGTGAGGAGACCGTGGCCCTCACCTGTCTTCCTCCCAGGAACCCCAGTTCATTCCTGCAACCTAGCAAGGCAGATGGAGCCCCGCAGGTCACACTAGGCCCAACAGAGCAACAGTGACCCCAGTGCCCTAGCCCACACTGCTCTGTACCTCAGTGGACACTGCGAACATGGCAGCTGGGGTAGCCAGCCCCAGGACTCTGGGAACGGGGGCGTGTCCCCTCGGAACCGGGGATCAACTCCCTCCCCTGACCACATGAACACTGCCAGTTCCAGCTGGAACTTGTGGACACAAGGACGCAGTCAGGGTCCCTGTGCACCTGCCCAGTCTGCCTACAGAGGCTCACGGCTCCCTGCACACTAGCGGCAGCTCCTGCGGTACAGTCTGGGTGCTTAACAGGCAGCGTGTCAGTGCTCTGGGTGTGTGAAGACTGCTGGGAGCATTTGCTCCCCTTCAACAGTGGGTCCGCCTGCTCCCACTTGGCACAGAGAAGGACTCGGGCACTAACCTCCAGAGAAGGATGGAGCCCCTCTCAGCAGTGGCCGGAGCTCTCGCCGCACCCAGTACACGCCCTGGGAGTCCTGGCTGATGCCTTCTGTGCCTCACTTACTCCAGCAACACCTCACTCTCTGGGACCCAGCCTGGGCTTTCCACGACCCACCTAACATAGCACATCGCTCCTGCTCGCTGGGGTCTCTGGCCCAGAGTTTCTGTGCTCTGCCTGGGGCAACGTGGGACTCAGGGCTCCAGCCTCTCCCCAAGAAGCTGCCAGAGAGAGTATGCCACTCACTTGTTGCTTGTGCCTGAGGTTCTTGCCACCCACCCAGCCCAGCAAGCAGCTCATGAGAGTGGTCCAAGACTGCTTGTTCTGCTTTCACAGCACCGAAGTCACTCTACCAGATCCAGCAACCTCTCAGACAGCCTCCGTGGGACGAGGCTCCTTCACAGCATTAGTTTCACTATTGGAGCTCCGGAGCTAGGCAGTGGCTAGGAGTCCTAAGATCACTGGCTCCGGGAACCAGACTGATCTCACAACTCAGCACCTAACTTGGACACTGGTTGGGAGTCTATGTGCCAGAGGCTCCCACAGCACCAGCAGGGCCTGCTGCCAACACCTGAGATTTTCATCCCAGTCCCTCTCCAGGGAGATGGCTGGGGACAGGCATAACAGGGGTACCAGTAACCACACTGAGCGACAGCAACTACCAACTACAGCAAGTAAAGGTACAGAGAGACTATACTACAAAATCCATGCAACTAAAGCTAAAGCAGTCAACCAAACCAATACCCGGAGGCACGTTGTGAGGAAAAAGCCTTAAATCAACAAAAATCATCCTTTAAAAGTGAAAGAAACAACTGATCTCCAAGATGTACAAAAATCAACACGGAAACACAGGAGGGGCTAGCGCTGCAGTGTAGCGGGTAAAGCTGCTGCTTGCAGTGCTGGCATCCCATATGGGCACTGGTTCAATTCCCGGCTGCTCCACTTCAATCCAGCTCTCTGCTGTGGCCTGGGAAAGCAGTGGAGGATGGCCCAAGTCCTTGGGCCCCTGCACCCACATGGGAGACCCAGAGGAAGCTCCTGGCTCCTGGCTTCGGATCAGCTAAGCTCCGGCTGTTGCAGCATCTGGGAGTGAACCAGGGAGGTGGTACAGCAGGTAAAGCTGGCGTCCCATGTGGGCACTGGTATATGTCCCAGCTGCTCTACTTACCATCCAGCCTAGGAAAAGCAGTGGAAGATGGCCCAAGTGTTTGGGCCCCGGCCATGACCCAGATGAAATTCCAGGCTCCTGGCTTGGGCCTGGCCCAGCCATGGCTGTTGTGGCCATTTGGGGAGTGAATCAGTGAATGGAAGAGATTTCTCTGTCTCTAACTCGTTCAGATAAAAAAAAAATAAATCTTAAAAAAAAGAACATAGTAATGCATTAATATCAGACTGTGAAGAAAGGCAGATTTGTTAGGACTTGCTAGGCCACTGGGACACAAACAGTTAACTTCAAACCTGGTCAACTAAGTCCCAGCTAAGAACGACCCTGAGGATGTCACCAGGTCCTCTATGGGTAAGAGTCTGGCTTTTAAACCTTCCCACTTGCCCTGGCATAGCAAACTGGTATCCAAACGTCATACATTGTAAATAGGGGCTCTTCTGCCTGTTCAAACCAACCTGCCGCAGTGGACTTGGGTCTCCTGGTGTCCACACGGCTTCTTCCCAACAAACAGCATAAATGGACTGCCGCCCACCACCTGGTAGGTGGGTCTCCCTCAGACCCCTGCCAGCTGTCCAGGCAGACTCTAACTTTACTTTCCCCCATCACGGTGTCCTATCTCTGCTTTTAACCGGCTGTCTCCTCATCTTCTTCCTCGAACCCTAAAATCCTAAAACTCACACGATTGACAAAATGCCTGAGAAAGAATTCGAAAGAATGATTGTATCGTTAATTTAAAAAGACAAGAGGATACAAATAGTTAAATGAAAATTAGGAAATCAGTACATAACATGAATGAGAAAGTTAGCAAAGAGATAGAAATATAGAAAAAGAACTGGACAGAAATCTTCGAAAAAAAGAACTCAATAAATCAAATTAAAAATACACTGGAAATCCTTAACAAGAGACTCGATCAGGCAGAACAAAGAATATCTGATCTAGGAAACAGGTATTTTGAAAAATCTGTCAGACAAAAAAAAATGATGATGATGAAAGATGAAACAGTGCCTGGGGTATCTGGGACATCATCAAACGCCCCAATATACAAGTGCTGTGAATTCCTGAAGGAATGGAAAAAAATAGTGTAGGAAACCTATCTAGTGAGACAATAGCAGAATACTTCCCTAATTTGGAGAAAGACATAGATATCCAAATATAGGAAACTCATATAACCCCAAATACACACCATCAGAAAAGACCTGACACAACATATTATAATCAAATTTTTAGAAGTAAAACATAAAGAGAAGGCTAAAATTCGCAATGGAAAAGCAGCAGGTCATTTTTGAATGAACTCACATTAGATTAACGGTAAATTTCTCAATATAAGCCCTTGTAGTTCAGAAGAGAATAGATGGATGTAGTCAAGTTCTAAAAAAAAAAAAACCTGCCAACCCAGGAGACTTCACCCAGTGAAGCTCTTATTTATAAATGAAGGTAAACAAAGAGCTTCAAGACAAGCAAACACTGAAAGAATTCATCACCACAGTGGTCAGCCTTACTTGAGGATATACTACATACAGAAATGGAGAAAGGCAATTCATATCATAAAAGAATATAGGAAACCCACTAGTAAAAGAACAAAGGATATTAAAAGATACAATAAGAATTTTTATGGAAAACTGGCAGGGTCATTAGTTATAAATAATAACCTTGAATATAAATAGACTAAAGTCTGTGATTAAAAATACAGACTAGGTGGCCCCGCTGTGGTATAGTGAGTAAAGCTACCGCCTGCAGTGCCAGCATCCCATATGGGTGGCAGTTTGAGTTCTGCCTACACCACTTCTGACCCAGCTCTCTGCTATGGCCTGGAAAAGCAGCAGAAGATGGCCCAAGTGCTTGGGAGGCCTGAAAGAAGCTCCTGGCTCCTGGCTCCAGACTGGCCCAGCTCCAGTCGTTGCAGCCATTTGAGGAGTGAACCTTCCATTCTCATCGGATGGAAGACCTCTCTTTTTCTCTCTGCCTCTGCCTCTCCATAACTCTGCCTTTCAAGTAAATAAACAAATCTTAAAAAAAAAAAAAAAAGGAAACTATGTCCAACGTTAACAAAAAAGATACAGACTATCTGAACGGATAAAAAAACAAGACTCAACTATATGCTGCCTCAAGAAACACACTTCACCAATAAAGATATACACAGGCTGAAAGTGAAAGGATTTAAAAAGCAAGTAGGAGTAGCTAAGGCTCTATCAGACAAAATAAACTTTAAGGCAAAAACTGTTCAAAGAGACAAAGAAGAGGCTGGCACTGCAGTGCAGCAGGTTAAGCTGCTGCCTGCAAAGCGGGCATCACCTATCAGAGCGCTGAGCTGAGTCCTGGAGGCACTGTTTCTGATCCAGCTCCCTCCTAATGAGCCTGGGAAAGCAGTGGAGGATGGCCCAAGTACTTGGGCCCCTGCTACTCATGTGGGAGACCTGCAAGGAGTTCTGATTTCCTGGCTTTGGCCTGGCCCAGCCTTGGCCATTACAGTCATTTGAGGAGTGAACCAGCAAATGGAAGAGCTCTCTTCTCAGTAGTCTCTCCCTCTCTCTGTCTCTGTCACTCTGCCTTTCAAATAAATTTTAACATAAAAAGAAGGTCATTATGTAATGATCAAGGGAAGAATTCAACAAGATATGACTACTTTAAATGTCTAATGTCCAATGCTAGGGAACCTAGTCCTCTAAAACAAAGTGAATAGATCTGAAGAGAGAAACCAGCTCCAACACTACCACTCTGGGGGAGTTTAACATCCCTCTTTCCATCAGTGGACAGATCAAGAAAAGAAACAACAGAACCAGCTACACCACAGACCAAGTGGGCCTAGCAGACGTCTACAAAACACTATCCCATAGCTACAGAGTACACATTCTATTCATTAGGGCATGGAACATTCTCTAGGATAAACAATATACTAGGCCACAAAGCAAGTCACAAGCAATTAAAAACACTGAAATCATATTATCTTTTCTGACCACAGTGGAATGAAGATGGAAATTAACAACAAAAAATTTACAGAAATTACATAAATACATGGAGACTGAACAACCACTCCTTAATGAGCAGCGGGTCATGGGAGAATTCAATTAGAAAATTCTACTGAATTTCACTGAAATTCACTAAATTCTGAATTTACTGAATTCTACTAA